ATTTACCAGAAAGCATGTGAGCGAGTGCGAGGAGAGAGGGAGAGGAGAAAACGAGCGAGAGAAAGAGCACCGGAGGAATGTGCGCTCCACTTGGTGGCAGTGAGCTCACAGGCCTGGACGCCAACGCTCCGACTCCTCCCATCCCCCAGCGCTTCCCTCTCCTCCTCTCTCTCCCTCTGTGTGTATGTATATGTGGTGCAATAGCAGCTTTTTTTCCTCAACTGAGTCACAGATCCAAACCCCCCTCTCCCTGCTGAGTGTCACTGATTGATTCATTTGTTTTACCTGCCATCTGCCATTCATTATCTCGGCCATTTGCGAATGCTAATCTCAGAGCGGGGGCTTCTCCGGCTCCGATGTGGCAAGACGGCCTCAGATTCCTGCCAAAACCCCCCTGCGCCGGATATGGAATTTCTGGGTCGATAATGATAACCGACAATTAACACCTTGTTTTGGCCTGTGCTGATACAGTACTGAACCCGGTGGGCTGCACGATGTTTCAGACAGCGAGCGATACTTTTTAGCCTCAAATAGCTTTTTATCATGAACAGATATCGTCTTTAATAGTCCATAATCAAAGGTGTGATCTATAAGATATGGAGGTATTTATTTCAAAACCTCATATCTGCAGAACAGCAGCTTCACAGGAGACGGATTAATTATGTAGGATAATATACTTTTCTATTGGTCAGTTTTAACATGAACCTTTCACCCAACATAAAAGGTTCACTCTCAGAAATAAAGGTGCTAAACTGTCTCTGGGTCAGTTCCCCTCCTGTCACTGGGGTGGAACCCTCAAGGGTCCATCTCAGTACCTTTAGTCAGGGAACATAACTGAACCATAATCCACTGAAATGATATGTTCTAAGCTGTACTGACTCCACACACCCCGTCTCGTCTCCAGGCTTTTATTTTACTGTTCTGTTTTAAAACATTCGGTTATGAAAAGGTACAAATACGAACTTTTCACCTGGAAACACTTATTTAAGGTTCACAATCAGACCTTAAAACCACTGTTGGAGCTTTGAGGGAACATTTACACTGTTTGTACCTCAATGAACGAAAATGTACCTGAAGAGAACCTTTATTTCTAACAGGGTCGTCACTGGAATTTTTAAATTATGTCAAAATAATAACAGCGACACAAGGTTTTGTTCTGACAGTGACTGAATATACTCAAGATGGACAATCATGAATTTTTATGGGTTTAATTTATATTAACCTCATTTTTAAGCCCAAAGTTCACACTGTGTGGGCTAAACAAACACATGAAACATACCAGCACATTTCCAACACTTTCCATTAGCCAGATAACATCATTTGCCTTTAAATGGGCCAAACTGGCATTTTCAGCTCGTGAATGAAAAATCAGTCTCTGCCTATTTAAATAACACAAATCCAATTTTGAAGTGGTGCTTCAAAAGTAAGAGGCAACTGGCTGTTTAGCACAATGAGTCATGGCTAACTGTGCTACGACATGGCAGCATAGCTGTAGCAGCAGCATTTAAATACAGTGCGAGTGCACTTACCTCGCTGACATTCTTCACCTCATAACTGCAACAGACGGCCCAAAATAAAAAACAAATAAAACTTCCGATTCCACATTTGGAGCAAAAGTCTGCCCATCTTGGCTGGTCCCGTTCATGCGTCCCTACGCACGGATACTATGAAAGCGCTAGAGTTTGCATGCAAGCACTTAAAAATGCAAATTTGGCTGTGGAAGTTTTATGCAACTTTAGTTGCTTGAAACCTACATGAAACTAAATTGCACTTGAGTTGCAACACCGTGCAACTCATTTGAAACTCATGGTTTCAAACGATTATCATGGCAAATCCATTCCAAACACTATTCTAGGCTCCATAATTTGTTTTTTATTTAAAATAGTCTCTCCTTTTAAGAGCAGAATATGATGAAACATAATAAATACATTTTTGATAAAGTTTCAAGGATATCACAAGCAGCAAAATGCCTGCGTGCACATACCTGTGGAGCCCTGCAATAACCAATTATTTTACATTTTTGCATTTTAAAAACAAGTTCACGCTAAAATCAATACATTAAGTGCAGTGAATGCGTGTAAGACAGGTTAACCCTTCAAATGGCCAGGGCCCGTCGACAGCCCTGACGTTTTATTCCCCACTTCTATAACCTAAGAACAGCTCGAGTCCATTTAGATTAATGGAACTCAAAGCCTTTACTGCTTTCCCATCTTGGCAGAACATCAGTTGCAAACTGATTTCTCTGCTGAAACCGTGAAAAACTTCAAAACAGCTACCATTAAAACTTATATATTGACTGCTGGCATATGAAGCAGCCCTGCTTCAAAACCCCTGAGTCTCCTGCTCTCTTCTTAGGCCTTAAGCTGGGCTGGACGTACCTGTAGGCATTGGGCAGATCGGTGCAGGTGCCACTGTTTTTGCAGGGGTTTGAGGTGCATTCGTCCGTTTCCTGCTCGCAGAAGTCCCCCTCCCAGCCTGGTCTGCACACGCACTGGTAACTCTAAAGGTGTAAATAAAGGAGAATATTAAAAGAATATAGAGCACCGAAACCTCATCCTGGTCTAGAAAAAAAAACCCAAAAAGACCAAACTTCATTTATTTCATTCAAAACTAGCCGTCAAGAAAAGCTTTTGTTTTTTACGAGATTTTTTTAATGAGGTTAGATAACACATTCTGTAGTCACACAAAACTGGAGTTCATTAAAAGTCCTAGAACAAATGAGGCTCCTAACAACCACCTGGAAGAGCTGGTCGACCCCAAAACTGCCCCCATCAGATAAACAGCACTTAAAGCTTTCATCTCTGAGAGAGAGGAGAAAATCAAGCTGCTTCAGATCTGAAAACATCCACAGGTGTTTCTGTCCATCCTTCCACTGTGAGAAGACGACTCAGCGCTGTGGGTCTGAAAGGATGTGTAGCTGATCAAGAAGAACCTCACTGAGAAAAGGAGACGGACACATCAAACAAAGAAGCTGAACGATGGACTGACCGCCCCAGAGTCCAGACCTCAACACCACTGAATGTGTTTGATTACTTCAGAAAATGATCAACCAGCTTCTAAGACTGAACTGTGGAGGAGTGTCTGCAGATTCTTTGAGGAACTGAAAGTGAGTCTCCTGAAAAGGCTGGAAGCTGTTTTGACCGAAATGAAAAGATAGGTGGTCTCTGACTTTTGCACAGTGCTGGCAGTGCTCCCCCGACACTCGCCACCATCTCCAGCTAATGCGTACAGTGCGTTTTTGACCATAAAGCTATTTACAGTACTTCATTCATTCGGTTTCATAGCAGTCACTCATTGTAGCCCGAACCTGGCATTAAGGTGACGGTTTAATCTGCTTCCAGAAGAGGCTGATTGAGTGAATTATGGGTTAAATTCTAATTAAAGTTTATTTTTACTGTATTGATTGTCACACAGGCTGACCTAATAGGCCTATAAATTACGTTAAGCATCTGTATTTTAACAGAACATTCTGGATAAATTAGCAAGAATATATTTATGGAAATTATGAAAGTTCTTTGGCCTATGTTAAAAAAAAAAGATCACACCATGAGATGAAGGCAGTGGCGCTCAAGCGTCTCCGTAAATTGGCTTCCGTTTGACTTTCATACGACGAGTGAAAGTGAACGGAATAACAAAAGCCTTGAAGCAGACAGGCACTGTAGCCTTTACATGAACGAATACAAGCTGGTTGAACTTCATGAACTTGTCACCTGCATTGAGAACAAGAAGATGTGGACTGCGGCAGGGTGAGTAAAATAATTAACTGGTTTTTTTTTTTTGGACAAATGTCAACCCACTAACACGGAAAAAACGGCTCGGAATGCATTTAAAAGAGTTACAGTCGTCTCGTTGGAAGTGCAACCATTGCTATGCAAATATACTCCTTCACCCACCCACCATCCGGCATCAAATATTCAGGCATATGTTTAAAGGCATGCAAACCACTCATTTCAGCATAAATTACTAAAGCGACCTGCTCACAGCAAATCCTCCAAATTACACAGCGCACAGATCTGAAATAAACAGGAGTCGGAGTGGATCAAATAGATTTCGACACCCCTGACATGCTGACACGGTCCACCTGTGTGCTCAGAACGTGTCATTGTTTGTTATTTGGAGTACAGAAATTTTTGCATTTTATTTAAAACTGCAAAAAAATACAGCCCCATTCATGCCTGGCACTGATATACACTGTGTCCATAAGTTTGTGGACACCCCTTCTTATTAGTGAATCCAGCTCTATTAAGGTGGTTCAAATGCACACACAGCTTGTTTAATCTTTAGAATCTGTTTAGAAAAGCACTGATGTTGTGGAGCAGCCACACATGAGCTGAAGGTCACCGTGTCCTATGCCAAGCGTGGGCTAGAGGGGTATGAAGCCCCCCAGCATTGGGCTCTGAAGCAGTGGAGCTGTGTTCTCTGGAGTGACGGAGCTTCATTCAATACCTTTGGGATGAGTTGGAGTGATCCAGAACTGACCATCCAACATCAGTACCTGACCTCACTAATGCTCAATCAAATCCTCACAGCAATGTTCGACATTTAAAGCAAAGCCTTCCCAGAAGAGTAGAGGCTGTTACTGCAGCAAAGTGAGATAAACTCCATATAAATACTCTTGATTCCTGAAGAAACACTGGATGAGCAGGTGTCCACAAACATTTGGCCATATACAATTATAAATATGTATATTTTTTGGCCATTGAGTACAAGCTGTCTGGTGGCTTCAATAATCACTTTTAGCAGTGCATTAAAGTACAGTGCAGCTATAAATCAGTGACCATGTACTTTGTTGTCACTTCCCCAGTCAGATGAACCGTACTTAAGTACTTGTGCTGAATTAAGTGCAGCCGAATCATCTAGGCCAGGGGTCGCAACCCAAATCTTAAGAAATCTTAAGAGCCATTTTGTCCTTTAGCAGAAATCAAACCATCTTGAGAGCCACAGCATTTTATGTCCATTTGACCATCTTGGCTGTCAATATGTCTCAGTATGTGCTGATGTACTAATATAGACTAAAAATATAATATAAATAAAAAAACACAGACTTACTTTGCTCTGCTTTAATCTTTACCTCAGCTACAGCTGCTTTTCTCACATCTCCAGCAGGAAACTTTTCCTAAAAGTAGAACAGTTTCTTGTAAAAATGTCTCTCAACATTTGACTTTTTACGAGGCTGAAGTCGCCTCTCATTCTCCAGCTTCTTGTTAGAATTGTCCTGTTCCACCTTAAATGGTACGGCAGGCACCATTAAAGTTGGAATGGGAAAATTTGTATGAGAAACTGACTTCAGCTTCGCGACTTTTTAGTGTTTGTCAGTTTCTCACTGCTGATTAAACGTATCAGGAAACCAGCTGGAAAGATAATATGTAAATAAGTATATTCGTCTCCAAATTATCGATGTTCGTCTTAAATCGTTTCGTTAGCTACTAGCTAGGCGAGGTGCTATGGTGACCAGCAGTCTGTGCTGATCTTCAGGGTTAAAGGGTGAATCAGCAGTTCTACATTAACTCCAGAGTTTAAGACCATTTACTGTTAAACTGTGTTGAACGATCAGCAGAGCTTTATTTTACTGTAAAGGAGGATTATTTTATTTTTACCTACTAATCTGATTCTGCTGTGGAGCCACAACAGGGCAGTAAAAGAGCCGCATGGTGCCTCCAGAGTCCTGGTATAGGTAGAGCTACCTACCTTCGTGGTTCTGCTGGGTGACAGGAAACTGACACAAGCACTCGAACAGCGTATGAATGATAGTGGGCAGGCTCTTGTTTCCACAAGGCTGAAGCTATTTCAAAAACTGTGCTCAATCGATGTCGTACAGGTCAGACATGGAGTAGCTAGTATGTAATTCTGCCCCGAACGAGGGCCGACGTCTGTTGAAAAAGTGCTACAAATGGAAGTGAACCCAGCTGCAACACAACAAGACCCTTCAGTGGCACCGTCCCTCACCCTGACGGCCGTTAAAATGTTCACCAATTTTGTAAGAGGAGAGATAAATGTTGCTACGGCTATTAGTTTTCCAGCTATTGGTATCCATCAAACATCTACTTTACATACAAAATGAACGAGGGGTCACGCGGTCACTCGCTTTTTCGGCAAAAAGGTTTCAGCTGGGACCGTCTGAGGCCGGGCTGATGTGTATTTCATGCACCGGAGGTGCACCGCTCGACTTTGTCTGATATGATTTGTTCACTGCGGGCCTTATTCATAATGGAGGAGGAATAATTCCGACGCGGCCTGGTAAATTAGACGCCTGCGGGAGACTCCCTTTCCGAACCTCCGGCAAACGGAGAGCATAATCTTATTTGGGCAGCTAAATCACCTACAGCGGCTCTCCCCAGTAAGCTCCAGCTCCGAGGGGTATTTTTAACCCTGCACGCACAAACACACATGAACAAACACACAAACAAAAATAATGAGGTAAATGGCAATCTGGGAATGCAAGCTCCCAAACCGAGCTTTGAAGAAAACAAGAGAAAAGCAAAGGCAAACTTCCCATTGGCTACAGCAAACTGAGGGACAATTTTCTTAATTGAATTGTGAATATTTCATACTGGTTAGGAGGTGAAAGTCTGTGTGAATTGACTCTACGTGATGGCACAAAGACACCGCAGGCAATGCATAACGAGTCACACGCATATAGGCTGGAATGTGCAGCTTTAACTACTTACAAATTAATGAAAATAAATGAAGATTCTGCACGGAACTCTAGCCGAGGCCTACGTGAGGAGCCATAAAATAGGACATGGCATAATATTTTGCGTCATCCTTTATGCTTCTTTAAACAGCTGTAGAACATCTGAATTAGCCCACATGTCTGAGACCCTTACAGTATAGAAGGCAAGTGCTTCACATCACAAAATATGCATAAATGCATACAGAAGCATGCAAAGGTCAGGTCTTCCTCTTGTCTTTCAGTGGGTCTGACCTTAGAGATGGACTAATAACACTTTTTCCCTTCCAATCCCGATACCTGATCCTTAAGTATCGGCCGATACTGAGTACCAATACCGAAACTAACTTCATCTAACTTAACTCACCTGATATTTATACAATTACATTTTAAAAACATTTTATTTTGGTATAATGCATGTTCTGCATCACAAATAAAACACACTCAGCTTGGCTGGATGGCTTTAACTGTTGAATTATCTTTATTAGATGCTTAAGAAAACTTATTTTTGTTTATTAACTGTATATATTTTGTATTTACTATTATATAATTAGTAATAAGAACCATTTTAACAATTTAAGTAAATGTAAAATATCTTTACTGTGCAGAACAGTTAAAGACAGAGCTAAACAGTATTCAGATAAACCTGTGGTGTTTACACATCAGCACACAGCAGCTTCTCTGGCTCAAAAACGGAGCTGAATGCTGTTTCACGTTTTGCTGCTCACGGTCAGTATCAGCGCCTTTCAGTGTTTTTCGTAACTTGGTTGGGCTGCGAGACCCCGCTGCTGAGTGACACAGATGACTGATGGAGGTGCACTGCAGGTGGG